AGGACTTGTTCCTCTGAAGTATTTTTTTATTGCAAGAGTAGAAAGTAAGGGTATAATATAAACTAAACAAATCAATAGACATTTTGTATGTTCCCCAGCTCTTGAAATATTTCCTTATTTTATTTAGGAAGAATAAGGAACAGATAAAATCAATCCATGTGATAGTTTGCACTTAGTATTATTTCAAAGATTACGTTTCACTAACTAAAGGCATTTCTAGGGCAAGAACAATTTTTACAATGGTTTGAACATGATAATGGGCCAAATAGTCTCCTGGGGTAATTCTATTAGCTTTGATTATTTGACCACTGTGACTTTTCAGTTCATTTCCATCCTGAGACTTCATTATATGGAATAACATTGATTCAGAAGGAGATTAGAAATACTTGCTTAAACTCCAGAAATGTATGAATCATTAAGCAAACATCAGCTGTGAATAAGAACCTCCAGCAGGCCTAGTACATATACCACACTTCTTAAAATACTGATATTTTAATAGATGCCGATTGAACATAATATCAGAAAGTCATGCCTATAGACAGTTGCAGCAGGACAGTGAAACAACTGCCATTAAAATTTACACATATATAGTGGACTATCAAAGCCAAATACTTAATCTTGTTCCTCTCTTGGGAGTTTAACAATCACACATTTTACAGTCCTTTCCAGTTCTGGTCTCTGTTTTTGACATGACAACCTTTCCCCAGCCAAATTAAAAGGCACGCACTCCAAGGTGTACAGAGGTTGGACACGGGAGGGAGGAACAAGTGTCCTTAATAGAAAAACAGAAAGATGCTGTTGACTGGAAAGTTTACATGATGCATCTGTTCCAACAAAACTGAGGCACCATAGGACAAATGACCCATGACCTCTTTTCTATAAGAAGGAGCCTGTTTCTGAGATTTTTAAGGCTGCACTTGAAACTAGATACCAGCATTTTCTCTTTCTTGTTACTCTCTCCTCTAAGTTTTATCTTGGGCCACTTCAAATGAGGAATTTGCAGTCTTGCTCAATTAATTCAATTAGTTATATTTACATTTTGACTCAGCCACCTACATCTGCTGCTGCGCATGCCCTCTCCTTCCTCCTTGAAAATCCACTTTAAATGTTTCTTCACACTCAAGCAACCACTAGTGTTTCAGCTGTTAGGCACAGGTGCTTCTTAGCATGTCTTGAATACCATCTCTGTACCATTTCATTATTATCTGTGACATTTTGCCCTGACAGAATTACAGGAAAGGGCAATATAACAATCTAAGCTATGAAGCAAGCAGAACCCAACAATAACTAAAGCATTCATAAAAGAATGTCTTCGAGCTCGAAAGGTTTAAAAACAGTAAAACCAATCTAGTTTTCTTGTATTTCAGAAGCGTAGTTAAAATTGCAAGGGACTCAAGCACAAACAACAGTTCAGGGTGTGGAGAAAGAGAAAGATGGAAAATCTTTGAATATTCTGGCTTATATTAATATCTGTATTGTGGAAAAGTCCAAACTAATCTTAGATATTGATAAACACAGAGAACAGCAGGTAATGTAACAATTATTCCTTCTACCCCAGGCAGGGTATATTGTTGACAGCTGAAGTGACTAGACTAACTTAACATCCCCTAGAAAGTTTTGGTGACATTTTAAAAAATTGGTGAAGCATGATTATTTTAGCTGTACTGCATTTGTAAGGACCCCTTGACTATGTTAGACAAATGATAGGGCAAGTGTGGCACATAAGCTGAAAATCTTAGAGTGTGGATAGTGTCTCAGCAGTCTCCCAAATGCCAGACAGACAAACAAACAAAAAGAACACAGTGGATTTTTGTAAACATACTTTATTCTGAGCCTTTTTACCTCCTCTACCACCAAAAATTGAACCCCACAACCCTGCTGCATTCAGCATTTAATTTACACAGTTTTCTTCCAAATGTAGAGTTACATCTTTATTCTCCTTTGTCTCTGTTTCTTCTTTCCCTTGCTCTTATTCTTTTCTCTTGCATTCAGTCCATTCATGTTAACTCTCCTTGCAGCAAAGGCCATTTCCTTTTCTAGCCTCATCTCCTTGTCCTCATTGATTCTATGACAAATGCCATTTCATTTGATTAGGTGAACAGCCTTATTCTCTGCTGAATTAGCTGATAATACAGGTGGCAGCCAAAGCATACCTATACACCAACAATTCACCTGTTTAATTATCCTGGTACAATTTTTAGAATGAAACACTTATGTAAATTCCCACTCCATATGTGAGACCCTTTAAGATTAATCATTTTCCCATATCCATTATATCCATTTCCTCTTATTTTGGAAGTTACCCTATCAACTTCCTTTAGTGAAAGGGAACAAGACAGCTGAGTAGGTTCATGTACAAAGAGAAATACATGGGGTTAGTACAACTGCATTCTTTCCAAGGGCTGGTCTCCACACAAGCTATAACAGCTGACTGCTTTAGGCTAGTTGGAGGCACCTCTAAACGTATTTTCCTAGAACATTAGGGAGCATCAAAATAACTCACCATTCAGCCTCCAAGAGAAAGAGGCAATACCCTCAGCTCTAACTGGGGGCTGGTCCTTTTTTCTATGTTATATTTAACTGGCCTAATCCTGCTTCAGTACATCTACTGATTTCTCTTGGCAACAGCTGTAGATCCTGTTGGGAAGACAGTATAGCATTGGCTCTGCTAAAAGTGACCTACACCTTTTTGCTATAGGCTTGTCCTTCCAGTTAATTTCAAGGATAGTATCCTTTTTAAAATGCAGTCAGAAATGTTTCTCACCAGGGTAGTGCAGAAGGGGAAAGGTGGCAGAAACAGTGACATAAGCTCCAAAATTAAGTGCACTCATTATGGAACAGGGGTGTAGGTTGTAGCTGTGTTGGTCTAAGTTCTTATATCCACTTTCATCCCCCTTCTCTGTCTTCCCCCCACTCCCCAGCCTGTCTCTCACCCATTGACTCCTCAATCTACATTTTCACTCACTACCTGTCTTGTATGCATACCAAACCAGCCTCTGGCTTCTTTACTTTTCATTCCATCCAGGAATAGCACACACAAACTGCTGAAACTTCCTTAGCCTGACGAAGGGTTTTTGAACCCAAAAGCTTGCTTAATAATTGTTTTCCAACTATTTCAGTTGGTCTAATAAAAGATATCAGATCCACCCAAAGAACCTTGTCTGCCATCGTTATGGAATGCTGCTCTATCCAGTAAGTTCAAGGAAACACTTCAATGCTTCAGAGTCCTGTCTGACACCTGAAAACATTAAGTTTTGAACCTGATTGCCAGCAAATACAAGGAACTTGGGAACATGCAGAAGGTAGCTGCAGTCAGAGCAGACCCTGTTTCCAGATAGTGTTTTTTAACCCAGAAATGTGTTCTGTTACCACAAATTGCTTACATCTTCCCATCCAATGAAAAACAATAACTTTAACTCCAAAGTGGATTAAGTACAGATTTAACTAAGTAAAAATGTTTTTTTAAGTAGAATTTGAATAAAGCAGTAAGCATATGATTCTGCAACAGTGAAAAAAATATTCCCAAGCTGAATCACAGAGGAAGCCTTCATTAAGGGGGATTCTTATTGTCTAGCCAGGTCTACAGAAGCAAAACGCTGATATGAAATGCAAAGTCAAAGTTGGATCCCCAGCTGCAGGGTGTTAGCATGGTTAATGATGTTAATTGGGGAATCCATAACAACTGGCTACAAAAGACTCTTTGCTAGGAAGATATTTTCTAGAGCTGGCATCTGTGTCTTACACCTGCTAGAACTGCTAAAACTGTCCAGCTGTTGCTACAGCTGCTGAGTTTGCTGTTGAAGAATAGAAATGGTAACAGAAATATAAAAGTACTATCAAAACAAATGAGCTTCATCTCCTCTATATACACAGTTGTACCAGCGTAAATAAAGATATCAAGCTTTTGGGGCAAATTAAGTGTGGTATGGCTTTCTTTATCACCAGCACAGACCTGATCACCGTGTGAAACTGATGCAAGAACTCTCCTTAAAACTTGAAGTAGGGAAGGTACACTTTAATTTTTCTTTAGGTGAAGATAAAGTTGGAACATTATCAAATAAAAGACAGACTCTTTCACATGAGAACAAAATGGGCCTGGACGCCAAACTAGAAAACAGACATTCCAAGCTTTGAAGTTTATACTTATGTCAGAATCATTGAGGCAATTCTCAGAAGTATAAGAGGAGTCAACCTCTGTTTCCAAGAGAGTTGGGAACTGTATTGCTACTGAGATAATAGACTAATCTACGCTGCAAGAACTACAAAAGTAGCAGAGTCATGTATGAGTAAATCAAGAGAGATTCTGGCACTTGCAAGTGGATATACAAGATTTCATTCTTTTCAAAATGGTCATAGCTTCAAGGCTAAAGCAGATCATGAACAAGTGACTGCAACATACAAGAAAGCACTCAGATGCATCACCATGGATGCAATAATTACTTCTGAAGGTACCAAAATACAATAACACTGAAAATCTAGCCAAGCATCACCCACTCACTGCAGATATGCTGTCAAGGGCATGTGTTCTACTTGATGACACGCAGCTGGGCAATCTGGGACAGGCTTTAACTGTTCATACTAACATACAAAAGTATATCACGTTGTATCCCCAGGAAGCTGGGATGACCCAGAAAGAAAAGTACCTAAAAATTAAACACAGCAAGCCTAATGCAAACAAAATAAACAAAAGGAGAAATATAGTTTCTCTACCTCTGCATTACCAATATAAAAATGAGCTCTCCTAGATCTGGGAAGCACACCCCCCTTAAATGAGAAAAGGGCAAAAAGTCAATAGAAAAAGCTACAGGTCTTCCTTCTTGCTACAAATACCACACACACACACTCTCTCTCTCTCTCTTAAATAAGTCAATAGAACTACTGCTCTACCTTCTTTCCTCAAATGCTATCCCCTAAATATTTCAGGCTCTGACTGCTGCTGGAGCACTAGATTGGCTAAACTTATCTTGTTGAACCTATTAAAATGAAAAAAGTGGCCTTACCAGAAGTGGCCCTCCAGAAGCAGGTGGTCCTGGTGGTGGGGGTGGTGGAGGGGGAGGAGGTGGTGGTGGTGGCGGCACAGGCATCTGTCCAGTTTCTCACTTCACTCCGTTACAGGAGAGGCTATAGCCAAATTCTCGGTCCTGGAATAAAAAATAACAAGAATGTATTTGCACATTGCAAATGGAGGAATAGACAGATTGTTAGCTCTCAGCAGACTGAAGACTTTTGTACAGTACTGCCTCTAAAGCCACAGTATGAACATCCTCATTACAGCTATCTGATGATAACATTCATCTAAAGAGCAAGCTCAGAGCTGGACAAGTTCCATGAATTCTAAATGTATAGATGCCAACCTGTCCAGCTTCAACTATCAGGCCTTACATTAATCTAGCCCATGGCCTTGAAATGCAATTATGTTGAGAACAAAATTGCAACGGACTAAATATCAAAGCCCTTACTGGGACAAAAACTCCATTGACTTTAATGACAGTTTTGCTGTTCTAAGGAGAGGAAGAACTTTGTAAGATCTGGATTTGGTCCAACATGAAAAAGACATGATTTAATAATAAATGAAGAAATAATTTTCCAGATTAAAGTTTCATTAAGTGTAGTACTACTGCCAAAGGACAGCACATGAAGGCCAAGAAATTTCAAGCATTAAAGTCAGAAATGAACAGTATCAATCTTTTTTTTTTTATCACTTTATTTTCAGAACATGCTGAATAAGAAAAGGCTTCCATGTCTTCTAATAGGGAGGCAGAAAGTAAGAATTTACAATAAAGAACTGTGGGTCCTGGGGGAGCACAATGATTATGGACTGTACAAATAATTATTAATAAATATAGGCTCTAGCTCTCGGTTGATCACAATTCATTTTGGGGTATGTGGCTTCCAACAGTTGCAGTCTGTGAGCATCACTGAGGTACTGTAGACAAGTTCTATTATCATCTCTTAGCAGAAATGGATTATCATATCCCAAAATTCCTAGCTGGCTTCAGTTTAATGGTATAATTGCCTGAAAGACCATGGAGGTTTAGGATACTGCTAAAAGCACTCTCATGAGAGATTAAAACTTGCAGCTCTACCTATTCATAGAATCATAGAAAATAAGGTTTGGAAGGGACCTCAGGAGGTCATTTAGTCTAACCACCAGATCAAAAGCAGGACCACCCCCAACTGTTATTATCCTCTCCAGAAACTACAACTGTAATGTGCTCTTTTGACATTCATGCAGCCTGCCTTTTGAGGTCAGGTGGTTACTAAAAAAGAAAAAGAAAGAAAGAAACATCACTAACATTTCATTTAAATTACATAATGAATCTATAAGAGACTATGAATATATTGAGACCAGATCTTCAATATCAGTATCAAAGAATTCAGCCCTCTACTTTTTTATTGGCAAGTAGAAATTAAATTAAACCAAGTCTTTTAAGTATACACCAATGTAGCAACCCTGCTGTTTCACTAGCAGTACCAACATACTCATCCAGCATGAGTAGGACGGGGAACATGGACTACATGCTGGTTAAGGTAGGTGTTCATTTCAGCATCCAGCTCCTCAGCATAATTCTTTATTAAAACATTTTATTAAAGGAAATGGAACTTGAAAAGCAAACCAGTGAGCTCTGTGTCCACAGCATGCAGTAATTCATTAATGTGTGCATGTACCTGGATGTATGGTCCACTTTCCCATTTGCAAACTTGCTGAGGGCGCAAAGCCAGTCCCAACAGTGGTAGCCCTCCACTAGAAAAATAAATTTGCAAGTGGCTCGCAATAAAGTTTGAGTTGCACAACCTTGTGCCAAATGAAATGGAAAAAATTATGGCATACGAGGGCACTGGGTTTCAGTAAAGAAACAGGAAGCATAAACAGCAGGCAGTTACCAGGTGGCCATGAATAAGATCAGGCCTTTTTAGGCTAGGTTTCAAAGACAAGATTCCAGCATGGAAGTAGGCTGTTGGTGACAGAAGGCCCTGGGAAACAACCTACCAGCATGTGACATAGAGACAACATTTCTATAAGGTTAAAGAACATCTAAAAAACCCAAAGAAGGTGGAGGTCTGTCCACTGAGGATCTGCAGGCCAGTGCTGATTTGCCTACTACAAGAAGGATGGACAAGCAGCATGTGCGTAGGGTCCAAGCAACTTTGTGCCTTTCCTATCAGACAGCTTGTAAGAATTAAGATGGGAATCGCTTGTTCTTTTTCTTGTTGCGACTCTAAGTTTACACCTAGAATAGTCACACATTTTCATTCTACACATTACACTAGTAACATATTTTATAAAGCTAAGAGTACACAAGTGTTTACTAGGCAGCCCCCAAGGGCTAGTGGGGCACCTCCATAAGTTGCCCTAAGTATGGCATACTGAGCATGCTACCCCAAAGAAACTAATGTGCCATGACACCTGGGGTTGCAGCATGGCTGGTTGCAATGTCTACCCCTAGCTCTGAGTTTTCTGGTGATAACAGCCTCGCTACTATTTTACCTCCATTATTTTGCTACACATGAAGCCATTGCTACAGTATGGCTACTTACCTCAATTAAGCCATATAAAAGCATATCTATAAATGGAATTTTACTATCTTCTAGGTCAGGGGCGGGCAAAATGTGTCCCGTGGGCCAGATGCAGCCTGTCAGGCCATTCTATCATGGCTAGACACTAGCCTGGGCCAGCACACTAAGGCAGAGGGGAGGGAGGGGGTTTGAAACCCCTTCCCCATTCACATGGGACCCCAGCCAGGTCTGCTTGGCAGTAGCAGAGCATCCTCTGCCTAGCTTTTCACCAGCCAGATGCTGGCTCAAGTCAGCATGCTGAGACAGAGGGGAGGGGTGGGGGGTTTAAACCCCCTTCCCCACCTGCACGGGACCTAAGCTGAGGTCTGCCTGGCAGGGGCAGTGCAGCCCAGCAGGTTTTTCCCCACTCAACACTTGAGCGGAGACAGGGGCGGTATGGGGAGAGTGGCCAGCTGGGAGTGGAGATAAACCTGTCAGAGACTGCTGCATCCCTGCCAGGCAGACCCTGGCTGGGGTCCAGAACCAGGTCTGCCATCCCCACCCAATTCTCAGCCAGGTGGAGCAAAAGGGCAGGGCTACCAACCCTGCTCCACTGAAGCAGACAGCACAGCCCTGGGCTGCAAAGCATCCTGAGTTGCTGGGGGACTGTGAGTTAACTTGAACCAGGAAGGGGTCTTGGACAGAAGTTCCATAAACTGGTTTAACTTAAATCACTTCAGTCTCATACTACATCCAACCAGGTTTATCTAAAATCAGTTTCAGCCATTTTGGCTATGGATAGAAGTTACACATAAACCAGCTTAAGTGATCAGAAACTGGTTACAGAAGCTCAGTGCACATAAACCAGTTTCAAAATGCCTGAAACTGGTTTTAGATAAATCTGGTTGAATCCTTCTGCTGAGCACCTGTCAGCAGCAACAAGGGCTGGGTGCCATTTAGGGGGTACTAAATATATTATACTTTGGCTTGAGCCTCCACCCAGTTTTTTTAAAACACTACAAACTACAAGACAAAGTTTATAGGTGACACCCTCTTTGTGGGGTTCTTTACCCATACCCAGGCAGTCTGGGATTTGGGACTCACCAAAGGGTAGTTCTGGGGGTCTATGCCCCTATACCTGCCCTTCAGCAATGGGCTGGGAAGGGGGGCCCACACCAGAGAGTCCAATAAACTGCTTTGTGGGTCCACTGCACTGCAGGGAGCTGCTAGAGAGCATAGGTCCTTATGCCAAACAGCCCCTCGTTGCTCCCTGTGAAACTGTAATGCTGATCCTCACTTCCACATGGTGGATTTGAGGGGTGAACTGCAGTCTTCATCAGCAAGTCAAACCCCAAAGTTTTTAGTCCTAATCCCAGCACTTCTGGGGCAAAAAACTGCAAGAACTCAGAGAAAAGCCAGCCAAATAGCGAAAAGGGCCTGACCAGCAACCAGCATCAACCACACTGCATTAGTCAGGACACAGAGCCACAAAAGCAACATATATCAGGCCCAAAATGTGCCCAGTCCAGACATACAGCAAACAAACGTACAGTGGGTCTCAGCAATACAGCCATGCTGAGACACAACTGCTGTAAAACAATAAAAGGGGGACTCAGGCCTATCCTGCACCTGGGCCTGAATATACAACAAAAGAGTGCCAGGCCTACTTGGCATAGGCCTGGAGATATAGTTTGAGCCACACTGCTGGGTTGAGACCTAACAGCTAGGAAACAGCAAAAGCAGGGCCAGGCCTATTTTGGCTTGAGCCTGAACTAGGACTAGTGCCCAACCACAGCACTTGGTTGGGGCATAAACTGCAAAAGGGACAAAAGAAGGCCCAGGCCTATTTCACTGGGCCTGGACTCGGCACCAAGAAGCCAACCCAGCTTATACAGCACTGAGGTCTGAATAAGCCACAAGAAGTGCCAGGGCTTCCCCCTGGCCCAAGTCTGCCAGCTAACATATGGCTGGGGTTCAGCCCCACACTGGTGGGCTGAAATGCAGCAGCTGTGACACAGCAAAAAGGGCCCAGGCTTATGGCCAAAGCCAGAACATGTAGTTTCAGCTATACAGGAAATCCTCGCTATTCACAAATTCACTGTTCACGGATTTGAATATTCGCAGTGCGCTGTGCCAATGGGGTGGGTCGGGGCTAGTGCCGTCACGGCTCCCTCTGGTGCTGCACCGAGCTCCTACCTCTGCGTAAGCAGGCAGGAAGCGCTGCGAAGGGGGGGGAGGGCAGAGCGGAGCAGAGGGCAGAGCCAGGTGGGCAGAGAGCAAGCACTGGGGACGGAGAGGGAGGCGGAGGTGGCATCATCTCCCCTGGAGGCAGCCATGGTTGATCCCCAGGCTCTGCAGGGGACCCCATGCTTCCAGATTCTCACGTAGGGGTGTGGGGGGGGGGGGCAGGGGGCGGGGGGTCTGATGGGGAGCCCTGTGTGGCAGGTCAGTAGGGGGCGCTCCTGCGTTGAGCCACCCACCTCTCTGCGCCCGACCACCTTCCAGGCTCTGAGTGCCTCCCTGGGGGCACCTCACGTCTGGCCGACCCCCTTCCTGGAGCACACCCCCTAGCTTGGGGGTTCCACTGCCACCACCCAGAACTGGGCTTGATTCTGGCTCTGCGCACCTGGGAAAACACAGGCCT